CGGGGCCCGAACGCGCCGCGCCAGGCCGGGTGCGGATGAGCCGGCTTTCGCCGTGCAGGTGCTAGAGGCCCGGCCCTTTGAAAGGGTCAGAAGCTCCAGGTGCCGCTGTCGCCGGGCAGGGCTGCGGAGGGGAGGAAGGATGGAGAGCAGCGCCTGCCCCGTGGCTTTCCCAAGTCGTGGAGGCGGCTCCGCCGCGAGCACAGGTCTCCGCCTGCGTGCTGCGGTTTCGGTTTTCCTGGGAGTCCCGCCGGCCCCAGCCCCGGAGAAACTTCCGGACAGTTTCCCTTGCCTTCCTCTTCCCTCCGGGGCCTTTTTCCCTTTCCTTCTTTCTGTCGACAAGTAAGAGTAAGCGATTTGTGTACTGAAACCTCATTCTGCATTCCCAGCCCCCCCCCACCCCAGGCTCCAGCTCAGCTGGTCACATCTGCGGGTGCGCGGGCTCCGGGGCTGGGCGCTGCATACTTGGCCCGGTGCCAGCCAACAGCCTGAATGCGTTTTGTTGTGAGGTTTGCTTGTTTGTTTTTTCTTGTTTTGTTTTGTCTTGTCATCCAGGTTCAGGGTTTTTCCTTGGAAACTGGCTTTCCTTTCAAGGGTGACGAAAAGACCGTATCTTTTAGCAAGAGGATTGAGGGGAGATTGTCTTTAGCATAGACTCAGATGAAATACTGATACTTGCATTAAAAAAAAAAAAACCCTTTCTGGAATAATTCATTTTTTATAAAGGAATCAATTTTATAAAACCATAAAATGTGCTACAGATCCACAGTACTAATAATGCTCCTAATAATAACCAGCAGTTAGTTTTTTTGTTTTGTTTTGTGTAAGAGAGGCATATGTAGAAAGAAAAATAGGTAACATTTCAGTGTGTGTTCTTTCTAATTCTTATTTCAGTATGTTTTTCTTTTTAATTCTTCATCTTGTTCATGTTTGACAGTGTCTGAGCGAACTCAGTCTAAAGTGACTAAGCACATTGTCCAGTGGAATGTAACATAGAATGGTTCTCATTGGAAACGTATTTTAGGATCTACAGATTTTAACTTCCCAGGTTTATATCTCAGGAAGTGACAGTCTTTCTCTTATTTCCCTATGCTAAGCAATAATGTGCTTCACTAGCTCGTTTAATGTTTCCGTTTCTCTCTGACCCGTGACTTTTGCCCCTCCAGGTTCCAGTAGGGGACTGATAGGACTTGTCAACTCGCTTTTCTGGGCACATCTGTTTGCTAATATGTTTCAACTGAAATTGTGCAAGAATGTTGTAACAGGCTAAGTCTGTGTGTTTGCAACAGAGTGATTTATATGCAAGAATGTAACTGCTGTTTGGATGTTTACTACCTATGAATGGCCTTGCAAACATTTAAAGAATCAAGATTTATCAATGGATTGTATCAGTCCTTTGGAAATTGTAAAGGCATTCCACTTTAGTATTTATCCTGCTCATTAAACATATTGATTAAATAGTTTCTTTCCTGAATGGTTATTGGGGGGGGATTTATATAGTGTACAAATACAGTAAAGGAAACTACAATAACTTACGATAAGAATTCTTTTGAAAACTATGTGAATTGATATTTGAATTAATGCTATTTAGAAAAAATATGTAATAGGTACAAATGTAGCTAATGTGACACTCAAAAGATTTAAATATAATTATGTGGAGAAACACAAATTAAATTGAAAATTGATTGCAGTTAGGAATTTAAATTTCTTATTAAGGGCCAGGGATTTAGCTCAGTGGTTCCGCCACCTGCCTCGCAAGCAAGCACAAGGTCTTAAGTTCAATCCCGGTACCAAAAATAAAATAAAATAAAATTCTTATTAACAACCTGGATTTTGTTGTGTTTGAATTTAAAGAATGTATTTCTATTTCTTAAAACAGCTTTCTGCTGATAAGACTTCCCATGGTTAAATAAAACACTACCCATTAAGGCTGGGGTGTATGTTGGGAGAGAGCACACACTGGCATGTATGACATCTTGGACTTGATCCCCAGCACTACCAACAATAAAATAAAATAGCACATGGATGGCTGTGCAGCATTGGTAAGTATGATAAAATGATGGAAGACTCCTCCTCAGACCGTCACTGTCTGGGGTCCTGGATGCTGTCCTGTCCTGCACCTGTGTTTTGCACAACCGGCGTGGCCGTCTGTGTATTGCTTGCTATTGCTATTCTAAGCCCGCTGGGCTAGTGCTCTTGTTTTGTTTTTCTGCCAGAGCAGAACAAAATTGCTTCTCAGTCTGCACGTCCTAAAATTTTACATTAAAAATGTCCCTAAAATGACACAGCTATATTTTCTGGGGGCAGGGAGTGCAGTCAGAGCAGCTGGGAGTGACCTTGTGCTAAGGACACAGGTCACAGGAGGGGGACAGTCAGCCTGTGTGCATTGACCCCACTGTTGATTCTAGGAGTGAGTCCTTGCGGTTCTGAAAACCGCTCAAGTTAAGAGCAGGGCAGGAGCCACCCGCATCCTTCCAGGGCCTCCTGTTTATGGAACTTTCTCAGTCTGAATTCTAGAGTTGTTTTGAAATTCAACCCAAAGATACCAGAGGAAGGGCGATCTCTCTGGTGCGTGCTGCCACCCACTGGTGGTGGGCTCTGGGAGCTGTCACCGCCATGTTGGGAGGACAGGGACAGAGAGTCACAGCAACCTAACGCATACTTGGTTTGCATCGATCTTGAAAGGAGTTGGTAGAAATGGTTTGAAATAAAACAAACTGCAACTAAGAGCATATCCAGCAGCAGATTCCTCAGTGCAGAAAGTTCAGATATATCACATTGCCTACCA